CATATGTAAGTATACTAACATTTACATGTGTATATGCACATCATATATATATATATATATATAAAACGGCTGGTGAGTTTTGAGCTGCTGAATTTGCAGTCCAGCACATTATCCAGCAGGTATCTATACACATGCATAAATACATACACACCTAAGAATGATACGTTTTTATGAAGAGTCTGTTAAACACAATCTGCCACATGCTGTAATTTCCTCATGTACAGTTATTGTGGCAGTATGTCTTGCCTACTGCTGTAATCTGCTTAAAATTTTTTTTAAGCTCTTGCTTATGGGTAAAGGCAACATGGTATTAATCTGGTTCCAGAAAAAGGGAAAATACATTGAAACTTAAATACCAATTGTAAAAGAGACAAATAACCTATGGCCAGTAGTAAAACTGAACCATGCAAAAGCACCTCAGTGGGTGTCCCTCTAACTATACCACATACTCAGTTTAAAGAAGAAACATCTCCCTCTAAAGAAGAATACTCATAAATAAGAAACTGAGGAATATTTACTAAATGTTTTACTAAATAATGGCATTCCCTGATAATCCATTTTATTGTCAGGTGAATTAAGAAAATATGAATAGCTTCAAACAAATCTGGAAACACATACACAAAACACGCTCAATAAATACACAGAAAGGAAATTACACAATGTGTAAGAACCACTATATAAAGTAGCCCTACTTGGATATATTTATGCAAGTATACTCACAGGTATAGTATAGTTGCTTTAGAAAAAAGAATTGCCCTGACGATGATTTACTTTTAGATTTCAGATTTTTCACAGTATTTCCTCTTGTAAGGTTAACAGTTTGAATTTACCATTTGCTCCATGGGAGAAAGACATGGCTGTGTGCTCCTGTAAAGATTTACAGCCTTGGAAACCCTATATTGGGTCACTATGGATTGGAACTGACTCAACAGCACACAACCACCACTACCACCATTTCATCTTGCCATTCATAGATTGACAAGTGAGAGGGGAGATTGATTACTTATTGCTCTGATCAATTACCTTATGTTAAAATATAAAGTATGGATTGCATGAAGATTTTCAACCTGCAGTGCAGTGAATTATTAATGTCTTTTCTACTCACTGTCTTTTTAAACTCAGACAAAATGACATTTTCTTGATGGATCTGGGTAAGAAAAGTTGGGGGAAGATACAGATGGATTGCATGATTCATTTGTGAGTGATTGATAACAGGGCTAACTGTGATTGCTCAGTCCTGCTGGGTATAAAATAAGCCATGTAAAAGCAGAAGGGGGGATTTCATTAGCATCAAGGAAGAATTACCAAGAGAGGAGCATGTCCTTTGGACCCTGAGACCCATGCTCACTGAGAATTCATGACCTAGGTGACAGAGCTGTGATATCATTGGATGGGCAGCAGCAGAACCAAGAACAACAGCATGAGATAGGGTGGTGGTAGCCAAACCCATGAAGCAAGTAAAGCTGAATGCCTTTAGGCAGGAGGCTCATTTGTGGAATGGGGTGCTCACCCAAATAGCTAGAGCCCAGTGTCTTAGGGCTAAGGCTTATGAGTGGAGTGCCTTTCTTTAGACATTTATCAGCACACTTAAAAGAATTTTGTGACATTGCAGGAGTAAGGCAAAGGCCAAGAGGCCTGTGGCTGAGAAAGGACCCGAGAGAGGCCAACCTTAGCAATTTTCGTCCTAGCAGGAATGACTGGGAAGAGTCTGCCTTAATTGAAAGAACTATGCCCTGAGCATTTCCTGGCCCTGAATTTTAACATGTTAACTTCCCTAAAAAACTTCATACTAATGAGTACTGTGTCTATGTTTTATGTGGCCATTGCAATGCATTATCAAGTCCAACTGAGAATTAAGAGTGTACTGGTTGATACCATTTTTTGAACAACTCAAATTTAATTAACACATCAATTGCTGTTTTGTATACCTACAAACTTTTAATTAGAACCAACACCTTGGTAGTAGTGGTGATTATTTGCTGTGGAGTATATTCTGATCCATAGTGACCCTGCATAGGGTTTTAGAGAGACTGTAAATCTTTATGGGAGCAGAAAGTCTCATCTGTCTTCCACAGAGTAGCTAGTAGGTTTCAAACTGCTGACCTGTGGTTAGTAGCCCAATTTGTAATCCGCTAAGCTACCAGAGCTCCTTAAATGTCTTACTATATCATATTTCTTACTATTAAAACACAAATTTATCTCTGAGTATTACAGTACAGAAATACGCTTGGAACACTACAGTTTCCTTCTTGAATTCAAATGTTAGAAACACCCCTTGCAGATAGGCCAATCTTTACTTCATTTTCACACAGGAAACTTACCTGAATTACTCTTGAACTTGGGTTTAATTTTTAGCCTGCTACATATTTTATAAGTTACTTAAGTGTTTAGAGAAAATTTCTTTTAAATTACAACAGGCATATGCATGCCTTTGCTTTTATCAAATTTTATTGATATTCATTTACACATCTGTCTTCATATACTGAAGACACAGTCTTAAAGTCTATCCTTAGATGAAATCTTTTTATTCTTTTGATAATTTCCTCATCCACAAAGTCAGTGCATTAAAAGTGGTGTTTAAAACTAGTATTGTAGAGGCTTAGGCTTCATGGATTGCTTTGAGGAAGGTATAATACGAGTGATCATATCATACATTATTTACAACTATAAACACTCAGAAGTTATTTTTAATTTTAAATACCTGGAAAATACTCTAGAGATGGTCTAATTGTCTTCATCAGCTCCTGAACCTAAACTGAAGTGAGGCTTCAGTTCAAGGAAATAATCTCCTCAGACGATCTCTGCTCTGATTATTTCCCTCCTGCCTCCCTTAGTCATTTTCAGCTCTTCCTTTCACCAAATCTTTGTACTTACTGTGGTTATTTGCAATATTTATAGTAATTTTCTGATAATCTGCCTTGTTTACCCTAATAAATCTGCACATTCTTTGATAAAGAAGCTATGGTCGTTGGAAATCTAAAAGTGGACATTTTGTAGCAAGGAGGGGAGTGATGAACTTTTCAGTCTAGGAGTGGAGGACCCTAGGACCATCAATGGAGAAAAGCGGAGAGCGGGATCTTACCCAGAGCAGTAGTGAGGCCTGAGATGGAGGCAGAGAAGACATCAAGAGATGGAGTGGCTGGGGACTTGGGATCTGGAGAGGGAAAGGGGCTGAGAACTGTGGTGGGGGTGTGCATGGACGGGATGGTAACTATGCCAATGAAATGATAGATGATAGAATGAATTGTAAAACTAATGTTCTCCCATGTAGACTATCACACAATTCACAATCAAACATTTATTTAAAAAAAAAAAGAAGCTATGGTGATTATTTTACCATATAACCTTAAAAAAAGAGACTAGCATAATACAATACCTGTCCTGTTGTTGTTGTTGTTAAGTGCCCTACCATCAAGTAGGTTCCGATTCATACTGACCCGGTATAGGGTTTCCAAGAAACAATTGGTGAGTTTGGATTACCAACTTTGTGGTTCAAATTGACCTTGTAGTCCTGTGCTTATCCTATAGCGCCACACCAGAACTTCATATACCCGTCTGAGAACCTAACTATTTTCCAGAATGTTATTTTCTTTGGTCATGAGTCTCATCATAATTTCAGAAAAATTATCTAGAGATGTTAGTCTTAAATTGACAATGATATTTTAAGCCAAGCAGTATTACACATGGTATTCAAGTTAATTAAGAAGAGAGTCACTTGATTTTCTTTCTTTAACAACCTATAAAGCAGCATTTTCCCAGTCATAAAGGATCTACTTACTTACTCACTCACTCACATAAGAGACACCTTTCACCATTTTAAGAAGAAAGTTTCAATATCATCAATTGTGCTCTAACTATTCAAAGCAACTGATTAAAAACAAACAAAAACCCTGACTTTCATTCTAATTTAATAATCATTATGAGAAAAATATAAGTTCTTTGTTGAAAAACATTCCTAACTAAATCTTGGTCGTGGTGGTTATGTGCCGTGGAGTTGGCTCAGACTCACAGCGACCCTGTACAGGGTTTCTGAGACTGTAAATCTTTATGGGAGCAGAAAGCCTCAACTTTCTCCTGCAGAACAGCTGATAGTTTCAAACTGCTGACCTTGAGGTTTGCAACCACGACACTATGTATAAAATCACCGGAAATACTCTAACCAAATTTAATTGACATTTTTATTAGACATGTAGATGGAAGGGTAGATACATGTGCTTCATTTATGAAAATGGATATGACTATGAGTCACAGAAATAGCTCAAGAGATAAAAGAAGAGCTATGGTGGCATCAACAGGATTAATAATGAAAAAATATGGATAAAGAATTAGGTGAAGAAAAGCTCTAATGTTAAAACTGATGGGAGAGATTACTAATTCTATTGTCACAGAATAAATGCTATTCTTCCATAATCATTCCTTATATTTCAAAACATATAAAAAAATAAAATTTTAGGTGGTATAGCATATCATTTTTATATCGAGATCATTTAAAAATCAATTTGATGCAAGTTTTGCAAGCTTTATGATTGTTAATGACATGCAATAGGGTCTTGGAATTTACCTAGGAGTGGGCAAGGTTCAATTACTAATGGAATCATTTTAATTAAAAAAAAAAAAACAAAAACAAAAACCACAAGTTGCCAACAAGTCAATTGCAATCTATAGTGACCCAATAGGACAGAGTAGATTTTAACCCACAGGATTTGCATGGCAGTAAATCTTTATGGAAGGTGACATTCTTGTTTTTCTCCTGCAGAATGGGTGGTATATTCAAGACATAGACCTTTAGGTTTGAAGCTAAATACTTAACCACTGTGCCTTCATACTCAACAGCAACAAGGTATTGTATTACACTAATTATCACCCTATTGACTCATTTTCCAAACTTGTGATGACTTTGTATAAGATTTTCCCAGTTAAGAGGTTGACTTGAGTTAAGCAGGAAATAATAATGGGGATACATTTTTAGCTTTTCAATTTTTTTTCTTCATGCACTTTACCTGATTTTTGAGATCCAGCTTGGGACATGGGCGACCACCACTGTAAGGTTTTTCTTTGAGCCATTTGGATCGAATTTTCACACCAGTCCCACAAGATGAGCTGCAAGACCCCCAGCTAGACCAATCACTTAACTTGCAATCAAATGGGCAGGGAATGATGCATTTTTCTTGAATATAACCTGAAAGAAAAATATTTAAGAGAATGGAAGAAAATCTGATTAACATGGACTGATCTATAACTTCACTTTCTGTATCTCTCATCACAGCTCAGATTTCTCAGTCAGCAGTTTTGCTGCAAAAACCTTAATAATTTTGTACTCAGATAAACAGACCAGAGTTTTAAGTGATATATAAATATGATTATATTCTGTCTTATGAGTGTATGTATATCATTCTCATTATTTTCATGGACAATTCTGGGATGGAAGCAATAGGCACAGTGTGTTCCCATTTCTAATAAGAAGGAATGGTGTGGTTATAGCCTAAAGACAGCATCACCTCCTCTCACTGAGCTTTGTGCCCCCACTTATACTTTCTCATACAGGGAGCGACATAGAACCAATGTTTCTTCAGTGTCTATGATCGGAAAAATTTTACTAAGAAAAATTCTGATTTTCTCTTCCAGGGAGTGAGACTTGGGGCTAGGAATGGGGCAACCAGTAAACCATAGAAGATTAAGAACTGCAGAGTGTTAGTGAAAGAAGAAAGTAAAGAAATAGCCATATTAATCAGATAATCAAGAAATGTGAGTTGAAGTACAGTCCCAGACATTCCGGTTTCACTTGGCCATGCTCTTGCTTTAGCCTACATTTTGCTGCACGTTTCCTCTGGATTTTCTCATAATTTTATCTCTCATCTCTACTGATAAATATGGGGCTATCTTGTCAATGCTGATTTCTCTCTGTTGTTGTTAGGGGTTGTCAAGTCAGTTTGTACTCATAACAACCCTATGTACAACAGAATGAAACACTGTCTGGTCCTGTGCCATCCTCACAACCATTGTCATGTTTGAGCCCTTTGTTGTAGTCACTGTTGCAAATATATCTTAGCGAGGGTCTACCTCTTTTCCACTGACCCACTGCCTCACCAAGCATCATGTCTTTCTCCAGCATCTGGTCCCTCTGATAACATGTTCAAAATACAGAAGATAAAGTCTCACCATTCTTGCTTTTTAAAGAGTATTCAGGCTCTATTTGTTCCAAGTCAAATTTGTTCATTCTTCTGTCAGTCTACGGTATATTTAACATTCTTTGCCAACACCAAAATACAAAGGCGTGAATCAATCTCTGGTTTTCCTTAGTCAGTGTACAGATTTTACATACATATGAAGTAACTGGAAATATCATAGCTTGGGTCAGGTGCACCTTTGTCCTCAAAGTGATATGTTTGCTTTTTAACATTTCAAAGAAGTATTTCGCAGCAGATTTCTCCAATGCAATACATCGTTTGATTTCTTAACTGCTGCTCTCATGGGCATTGACTGTGGATTCAAACAAAATGAAATCCTTGATAGCTTGAATATTATCTCTACTTTTATCATAATGTCTCTCAGTTTGTGGTATACTGCAGTAGTTTCAGTGTTGCTGTGATGCTGGAAGCTATAAATATTACTGGTATTTCAAATACCAGTAGGGTCATTCATGATGGAAAGATTTAACTTAAATGTCTAGATTGAAACAGACTAGGAAGGACCAAGCAATTTACTTCTAAAGAAAATACTGGTAAGCCATTTGAACTGCAAGGTCGGTGGTTCAAGCTCATCAGCTGCTCCTTGGAAACCCTATACAGGGTCACTATGGGTCGGAACTGACTTGACGGCACTTCACAACAACAACAACAAAAAGTATGAATAGAAACAGAATATTGATTGATCTCCCTATATTACTTATTAAAACATTCTAATCAACTACCTCAAATCAAATTCAACATGTCTCAAACTAAGGAATCAATTTCATCCTCATTCTAATTATCTTGTATTACTATGTTGTTGTTAGATGCCATTGAGTCAATTCAGACTCACAGTGATCTTATGTATAACTGAATGAAAAACTGCCTAGACCTATACTATCCTCACAATTGTTGTTACTTTTGAGCCCAATGCTGCTGCCATTGTGCCAATCCTGTGTCTGAAGTATGATAGATGAAGTCTCACCATCCTAGCTTCTGAGGAACTTTCTAGCTGTACTTTTCCCAACACCAATTTGTTTGTTCTTCTGGCAGCCCATGGTACTTTTCATATTTCTTCCCCAGCATCGTAATGCAGATGAATCAATTCTTCTACGGTCTGCCTTATTTATTTTCCAACTTTCACATGAATGTGAGGTGATTGAAAATGGGAGGTGATTGACATGGCTTGGGTCAGGCATACCTTAGTCCTCAAACTGAATGTCTTTGCTCTTGAATGCTTTAATGACATCTTGTGTAGCAAATGTGCCTAATTCAATATGTTGATTTATTTCTTGCCTGCTTCCATGATTATTGATAGTGGATCCAAGAAAAATAAAGTCTTTAACAACTTTATTCTTTTCTCTAATTATCATGATGTTATTTATTTGTCCAGTAGTAAAGATTTTTGTTTTATTTATACTTAGCTGCACCCATACTGAAGGCTGCGGTGTTTGATCTTCATCAGAAAGCATTTTAAGTTCTCTTTGCTTTCTGCAAGCAAGGTTGCATCTTCTGCATATCACAGGTTGTTAATGAGTTTTTCTCCAGTCCTAAGGCCTTTTATTATAATGTCTGGTATTACTTATCATAATGAATTGTCACAGCACCTACTTCTTGCCCTAAAGTAGGCATCTCCATGAAAGTGGGCAGAGCATGTGAATATGAGAAGATGTCACTTCCAATATTGTTGTTATTGTTTTGTTGAGTCATGTCTGACTCATACTGATCCCATATAGGGTTTCCAAGAATTGGCTGGTAGGTTTGAATAGCCTACCTTGTGGTCAGCAGATCAGTGTTTACCCTATAGCTCCTAACCAGGACTTCCATTAGTAGGTTATGTTATATTGAAAAGGTGATGGTAAAACTGGATGTAATTAATATCCTAAATCAATTGATGTTGATTTTTTAAAAAGTAAGATTAGCAGGAGTGTTGCTGTTGTTGTTATTAATCACCATTGAGTCTGTTCCAACTCATAGCAATTCTGAATGCTGTTGTTGTTGTTAGGTGCCATCTAGTCAGCACTGATTCATAGTGACCCTATGTACAACAGAATGAAACACTGCCCAGTCCTGGTCCAACCTCACAATTGTTGACATGCTTGAGCCCACTAGTGCTGCCACTATGGTAGAGAGATGAGGATTTCTGCTTCCACAAAGATTTACTATGTAGGAAACTCAATAGGTCACTCTGAGTTGGAATCTAGTCAGTGACACTTTAACAACAACGTACATCTTTTTAACACTTTCTGCTTCAGCCAAGATTCATGTGATGTCAGTAATGATATTATTCATCATTCCTCATCCTCTTCTGAATCCAGCTTGCATTTCTGGTAAATTTTTATTTGCATGCATGTTAATAACATAGTTTGATGGTTTCAACATTTGCATGGGTCATCTTTCTTTGGCATGGGCACAGATACGGATCTTTTCCAATCAGATGTCCAAGTCGCTGTCATCCAAATTTCATGACATAGACAAGTGAGTGGCTCCAGTGCTGCATCAGTTTGTTTAAACAATTTAATTTATATTCTGTCAATTCCCAGAGCCTTGTTTTGTTTTTTGCCAGTGTCTTACTGCAGCTTAAATTTCTTTCTATTCTTGATTATTAGCTGCTTCTTGAATGGGTTCTATTTGGTCCAATGACTGTTCATATTCCTCCCATTTCCTTCTGAGGCTTCCTGTGTTATTCAATATTTTACCCGTAGAATCCTTCAATGTTGCAGTTTGAGGCTTGAATTTTTTCTTCAGCTCTTCGGACTTGAAAAATGAATTCTTCCCTTTTAGTTCTCTAGCTCCAAGTCTTTTGAAATTTCATTATAATACTTACTCTGTCCACTCAAATTGCCTTTTGAAATTATCTATTCAGCTCTTTAACCTCATCATTTCTTCCAGTCACTTAAGGTGGATCAGCACTGGACTACAAACCAAAATGTTTGCAGTTCAAACCCACCAGTTACTCCTTGGAATCCCTATACAGGCTTGCTATGAGTTGCAACCAACTTGATAACACTTAACAACAACAAAAACTTACATTTAAGAGCAAGTTTCAGAGTCTCTTCTGACATCCACTTTGGTCTTTCTTTCTTTCCTTTCTTTTCAATGAACTTTTGCTTTCTTCTTGCATGATATTCTTGGTATTATCCCACAATTCTTGTCATCTCTTGTCATTAGTGCCTAATTCATCTAATTTCCTTTTGTGATAGTTTCTAAATTCAGGTGAGACTCAGATAGGATACATCCAAGGTCATGTTTCTGCTCTTGGACTTGTTTTAATTTATTCAGGTTCAGCTTGAACTTGCACGTGAGAAACTTATGGTGTGTTCCACAGTTGGTCCCTGGCCTTGTTTTGGTTAATGATTTTAAGTTTCTCCATTATCTCTTCCCACAGATGTTTTCCAGTTGATTCCTGTGCATTACACTGGTAAGGTGGAGGTAGTGTCCATTTGTGTTGTCGAAAAAGGTATGTTCAATGGATAAAGTCATTGGTCTTATAAAAATTTTATCGCACAATCTCCAGCATGGTTTCTATCATATACTGGTCTTCCTCATTTCCAAGTTTTGCATTCCAATCACCAGTAACTATCAATAAAACATGATTACAAATTTGATCAATTTCAGAAAGAAGAAGTTGGTAGAATTCTTCAATTTCATCTTCACTGACTTAGTGGTTGGTTTACAAATTTGAATAATAGTATTAACAGGTCTTCCTTGTAGGTACAAACTATTATACTGTCTCAGAAAGCATTGTACTTCAAGAAAGATCTTGAAATGCTCATTTTGCTGATGAATACAACACCATTCTTCTTCAATTTATTATTCATGCCAAGAAATTTGGAAGACAGCTACCTGGTCAACTGATTGGAAAAGATCCATATTTGTGCTTATTTCAAAGAGAGGTGATGTAACAAAATGTAGAAATCAATTAACAATATCATTAATATCACATGCAAGTAATGTTTTACTTGAGATAATTAAAAAAATGATTTCACCAATATATTAACAAGGAGTTGCC